ATTTACTTTTTCTAGCAATTCTCTTATCATTCTTCCAGGATATAAATCCCCTGCCCCTGCTACACAGGTAGCTTAATCTGTCTGATCTACCCTCTTGGTTCCCATTATTTTTATATTAGCTCCATGAATACTATCTTATCAACTTTCCTATCATATGTCCATCTCTCTCTATTTCTTGAGCTCTGCCAATTCCAGTCTCTGGTCCAGAATAGGGGCCACCTAGGACATTGCTTTTTTACATTATGAAAGTGATATATACCCATTTCAAACCAACGTTACAGAAAACTAAAAGCAGTACAGAAATATATGATGAAAAAGTTTTCACATCCATAATAGATAACACACATATGCACAAATAATACTTTTCGACAATTTCATTTAAAAAAAATCCTTATCCAGGACACATTTATTGATTCCAGAAAAGAGGGAGAGGAAGAGAGGGAGAAGGGAGTACGGCAGGGGTGAGGGAGAGAGGAGAAATATCAATGTGAGACAGAAAAATCAACCAGTTGCCTCCTGTATGCACTCCCACAGGGAACTGAACCTGCAACCGAATGCATGTGCCCTGACTGGGAATGGAACCCGCAACCTTTCTGTTTAAAAGACAAAGCTTCAACCAACCGAGCCACACCAGCCTGCAGTTTCATTTTTAATTTAATATTACCTAGTGGAAATTTTTTCTTGTCAACACATGGATATACCTCATTTATTTTAATAGCTACATAATAGCCTACCCTATGATGAATGAATCATACTCATATATATATTTTTTCCCTGTACTGATGGACATTTATGTTATACCCATACATTGTTATTACAAATAGGCATTATGGTGAACAGTTACTGTTTTTGCCTGGCCTGCGTTCTTTTCTTCCTTCTTCTGATAACACCAGCTTACTCTTCCAGGGGAAAAGCACCACTTCCTCAATGCTACTTCATGTGGTTAAAGCAGGGCCAACCCATTCCCACTGTCACCCCAAGAATATAACCCAAGCCAGGTTAACCAGAGTATTCCATCCCCGTGCCCCAGGAAACTGGATCAAGGATGGATGCTTGAGCCATGTTGGTACAATGACAGTAAATTCTAGAACTTCTGTGGAACCTTGGAGGAACAGCATTCTTCCCCCACCCCCTCTGTGATTGCTAACTGCAAGGAACTGCCAGACCACTCCATGAGAATAGGTAGATTATCTATTTGAGAATGAAACTAATGCAGAAACAGCAGAGCTGTGAGCAACAGAGAGATGAACAAATACACCAAATAACCTAAGGACCAAGGAGACTGTTAATCCTGGATCTGGCTGGCCTGAGGTGAGACTACTGCTGGACTTCTCAGTCCTGTTAGCCAAGAAATTCTTCCCCCACCCACCCTCTCTCTTAAGTGAAATTGACCTCATTTAAAAATGAAAGTTTTTAGACAAATATGCATACAATACTGCAAGATACCCTTGTGCTCACATTTTTGGGCAAGAATGCAAATATATCTGGGTGTATTCCTTGAAGAGAAAATGCTGAGTCAAGGGACATGCATATTTAATATTTTAGTATATACTGCCAAATTGTTATAGTTCTAAATCCTCTTTGGTTCCTGGACCTATTTTCAACAGTTAGTACTATAGTTCTATTTCTTAAGTATCCAGACCCATGGAGTATTTAAAAATGCTTTCAGAACCTGCCTTAATCCATTATTTCCAAAGCCCCAGGATGAAGTTACCTCCTAGCTTCTGGAGGATATCTCCTAGCTTTTTATCCAAATCATTATTGATATTTCAAAGTCAGGAGAACCCTTCCTACCCCATTATTTGTTCAATGCTACCATTAGAAAATTTCACTCAAAGAATACTCTTATGGTAAAAGTCTATTGACTATAAATGGTTTTACAGTTCATGAAATGTTTTTATATAGGTTCTCCCATTTAAAACTGACAAGTACATATAGATATTTACCTAAAGTGACTGGCTTATGTCATATAATGAGTGGTACAGGCAAAACCTAAAACCCCAACTTTTGCCTCCAAGTCTCAGGCTTTTATTTTCTGTATCACATGTACCTATATATGCCCTAAATTCAAGGACATCTAGAGTGACAGCAAGTACTACTGGGTCATATTATTCTGATAGGAGATTAACTGATTTTATAAAGATTCTGTAAAACATGGTCTGTATACGAACCTAACAGACGTATCACAACATACTGATAATGCCGAAAGATGATCAAACTCAAGTAAGGAAAGAAAGAAATATTTCCCTTATAAAAGCACAGGTAAGATTAAATAAGGAGTGCAGTAGTAGTATCAGGAGTGCTTTTGACAACTACCAAGGAGTCAATTGTCAAATGAAGCCTAATAAATTAATCATTTAGAAATCCAGAAAGCAACCTGGCTTTTGTTTAAATGTTTAAATTAATGTTTTAATGTAAATTAATGTTTAAATTAATATAGAAAGTATAAAAAGCAGACAAGTATATGTTTTCATTTACTTTGGGCCCATTTAACAAACTGTTCCCAGAAGTGTCCTCAGAAAAAACAAAACCCACTAAGGCACACAGTCTAACCACAGCTCAGAAGCAGAGTGTTCCTTATTACTGAATTCTCTTAATATTGTAATAGCACCTCCTTAAGCATCGAAAGAGCCCCCAGAGAGTAAACTACCAAGTGTCATCTCATTTTCTGGACCGGAAAAGTAGAGGTTAAGTGGCTTGCCACAGAACAACCAGTCAATGGAACAGATGCTATAGCTTGCCATTTTTTTCTCATGTGAGGCTTCACCTAAATCTCTCTCCAGTCAGAACAGATGTGACCTGATGGAACATTCAAGAGGACCTTGTAATTCTGATCACTAAACAGGCATGGAGACTTGCAAGGAAGCAAAGTAAACTCATTTATCTTGCTGATTTTCAGTTAGTCTGAGGAATAAGTACGACAACGTTCCTGCTTCCCAGTTTCAAATTCAATTAAGTTCAAAGTGTCTGGTGGTCAGTTTCTCCATTCATCAAACATCACAAGTGAGAATGGAGTGTTATGGTAACAGTAAAAAAGGCATCTAACCTTGACAGAGGGGGCTGGAGAAGGCTTCACATAACAGGGGTCATGGGCTGACTCCTGAAGAAGAATGGTTAAGAGCTGATTAGGCTGGAGGGGAGAGAGTGAATTTGCAGGCTGAGGAAGTAGCAACTGTACAGGGAGCTAAAACACAGAGGCAAAAGCAGGATACGAGCTCTCTAAAACTGGAAAAACGAAGAATATTTTGCTCTTACTTGGAGTTTCTTTTTATTCTGAACCACTGGTTGGTTAAGTAAATGTCTCTAAAAAATATGGCAGAGATCACTAATGAAGTTGCAAAGGCAAAGATACCTAAGCAAATAAAAACATCAAAAGAATAAAACGGAAGAGTAAGGATTTATCTGAGTATTATATAACCATACTGCCTTAATACATCTTTAACAGTTTCACAGGAAGTGTTCTTTTGAGCACACACTAGGAACTCACTATTGCATTATAGCAGACAGCACTCTCTAACATAAATATAGTGTAAGCCATAAATGAGAACAATGAATTTAAAATGTTTTCTAGAAGCCAATTAAAAAATTTTTTTTAAATCCTCACCCCAAGATATGTTTATTGATTTGGGAGGGGAGAGGGTGAGAGGGGGAAGGGGAGAGAGAGAGAGAGAGAGAGAAGGGAGAGACAGAGAAAAAAAATATACCAATGTGAGAAACATTGGTCAGTTGCTTCCCCTATTCCCTGATCAAAAACTGAACCTGCAAACTAGGCATATGCCCAGAAAAATCAAGACAACTGTAATAGCATAATCAATAAAATATAATTTTTAAAGAAATAAAAAGTATGTGATTATTTTATTAACTCATATCCAAAATATCAGCACCTTAACATGTAATTAATTTAAAAATAACTGAGATATTTTACATCCTTTTAGGAAGGTACTAAATCTTTGAACTTCAGTGTGTATTTTACACTTATAATACATTCAGATCTGCCACATTTCAGGTGCTCAACAGGCACATGTGGCTAGTGGCCCAGCTCTGTAGAGAGTTATGAAAAATATAAGTGAGGTTGTTTTACATACAAAAATGCAGCAGAAAAGAGCCTCTATACCTGGCAACTTGCATGACCCCGACCAAAAAGCCTTCTCCAATCCACAACTCTCTCCTTCCTCTAAACTCTCCAGAACTGCTAATTCTGTTTATCCAGAGCCAATCTCAGGTTGTCTCTGTTTTAGAATATAAGTTGGGGGCAACGTGTCTATTCTTGTTCATCACTGTGTCCCCAGAGCTTACCTTAAAAGAGCATTTAACCCAACTCGGGGGTACTCAGTGAGTATCTCTTTAATAAAGGCATGAACAGACACATACCTGTCTCTGGATCTTGGCTTATTTTGTACGTGGAAGGCTTTCTTACTCTTCTATTTAAAACATATATAAGTAAATCATACCCCTGTTTGAAAGTTCAGCCTCATAGCTCTCAATAAAGCCTTTCCTATTCCAAATAATTATAAACCTTTTTTCCTTTCAAAACTTCCATATAATTTTATTTGTACCTTAAAAAGTAACATTCCGCTGTTTCAGTTTGCATTACAGTTACTTAGACACATTAGTGACCTCCTTGAAGTAGTACAATACCTTACAATCAGTAAACATTAAATTTTCCCTCCAGTGATGCTCTAGTCTCCTGAAGGGCAGAGACCATCTTATTTATAACTTTGTGGCCCTCAAATTAATCAGAATAGTGCTATGAACTCAGCTGATGCTCACTATGTTTTTGTTAATGAAAACTTTGTCTCCCTACACTATGACTAAAGTAACTTATTAGTAACAGACTGGTACAGGCTAGTAAAGAATGATGAGTTAAAGTAATATAAAATAAAATATAAAGAAAGATGAAAATACAGGGAAAAGTTAAAAGTTGTCAGACTGTTGAGGGCATAAAAAAGTGCAGAGGTATACAGAGCTGACAAACTCCTATTTTTTCTTTTCTTTTTTTACATCAGATGGGTAGTATGTCAATGTCGTAACAAGGTTTGTGGGGAGGCACGTTATGCAATAGCATGAGCACCCAAACATGACACTTACGAATAACAAAGGGATCCAAACTCTTCTTTTAAGTGGGTGGAATATAAATTATGTGCTTAGGAGTTGAGGCAAGAATATAACTGGTCACAAATGTTAAAAATTCACCTTTTTGTTGGTCTTTGTATTAAACATGCTTATAGATAATTATATGTTGCAAATACAGAAGGGCTTAGTGAGCAACTAGATTACTATTTAATAGTAGGTAAGTGGAGTTATCTATCTTTATGTAGTTTGTTACTGGAACTTGAGGAAAATATTCTCTCTTGCCAATGACACTGATACAAAATTTGTTAATTTTTAATACAAAGCAGTGGATACATGCTTCCACCTTCTCATAACCCATGGGAATAATTCACTTCATTGACTGACTAATCTTTTATATTTCATAATACTCCGTAACTTTGGGGGTGTTAAATAGATGTTACCTTTCTTTTTCATGGTTAATTTTTACAAACTATGAGTTGAGGGGTAGTGATTGAGGGCTACGGTCAGTCTTATAATAGTCACTGAGCTTACTCTAGTCCTTAGTTTAGACTGGAACTTTGGTCTTTGACCTCAAATAAGCTTTCTTAATGTCTGAAGAATTGCTGTGAGAAGATGGAAAGAGGAGGACCATGCAGGCACATGTTAAAGAGTGAGTACAGACAGAAAAGTATGACCTTGAATTAAGAGAAGACGTGTCATCAGAACCCAGAGGATCTGTGTCCAGTTATAAGCAAGCTCCGACTGACAGGCTTCAGTGAGTGACCTTTCCCAAACCTTTGCTTGCATAAGCACTATACCATACCAGTTTTCTGGAACTGATTATAACGCTCCAGCCCAGTCCACTTACATATAAGTTACTTGGGTCTATTTTTGGAACCTTACCTTCTATTTTTCATGAAGTTGCTTAAAAGAAGACAAAATCCAAATAACATATTTGGCCTTCACACTGAGCAAGTATCTCTAGCAGTTCTGCACTTTGCAAAACAAGACACTGAAAAGGTGTTAGTACTCTGTGTTACTGTGAGGTGTATGCAGTCCAAACAATTTCTATAATAAACTCACAACACTCTATTTGCAATTAAATTATTGGCCCAACAAGTTTTCACCAGAAAAATGTTTAAAATAGAATCCCCCCCCCCCCAGGAAAATTTTATGTATGTGATTAAAGGAAATTACTCTATATGCTTCATGTGACTTAGAACTATTTGAAAGTTTTAAGGGCATAAAAGGTACACATGGGGTTTAACTCTAACAGATAAGCAAGTCCTTACAGCATTAGATATAAACTTTTTTGCTTATGTTTCATTGTACCATAGAGTACCTTATTAGCCATAATATAAGAAATGTCTAACTGGTTTAAATTATGGAAGATACACATAAAGGACAAACAACCATGGAATTTAGTCTATAATGGTTGGGCTTCAGAAATATCAGTTCCTTCTTTGGCTAACTAGTGTAGCTAGTTAATAAAGGTTGAGGTCATATTTAATCCTTGGAAAAACAGATAGAAATTCATGATACTATCAGCACTGAATTAGCTCCATTAAATACTAGCAATTATTAGTACCGGGTGTATGAATCACACCTTTCCAAGCCCACTAAATCAAACAACCCTTTGTATTTTTCCCTCACAAAATCAAGTATTAGTCAGATTGGACTTATGTTGTAGTATCAAGAAAGCACTTAAATGTCCTTTTAAAATGTTTTCTAGACAATGCAGGGTAGATTTGGAAACTAACACATGTGCACACAACTCTTTAAAAGGAAAAGATGGTGACCACACCATACTTTTCCTTGTCTGAAGTTTGTTCCACTACACCAATCTCAGGTTCTTGCTACTGACTCACCAATTCAAGCACACTTTTATATTTAGGTTCTGCTCCCTAAGAGAAACAACAGTAAACTGGCCCTGCTCCTTCTACAAAGAATACACAAAGGCTCAGATATTTTCAAACATCCTCCTTACCCTTTACCCAGAGGACAGAACTTTACCTTTTTTTGTGTTGAATATGAGGTTATGCTATTGCCTTCATGTTTACTTCTTTCAAATAGGCCTCTCACCCTGAAAGATGCAGATCCTTCACAAGATGAAAGTTTGGTAGATATGGCTTTAAACCTTAATTCATCATTCCAGACCCCTTCAACGTATGAGACAGAAAAGCAGGTTTTTCTCCTAAGATCATTCTTGATGGTTAGGTACAATAAACAGAGGCAAATTGAAGTTGTTAAAGAGGCAGTTTACTTTCTGAGATTACTCACTGCCCTATGCCAGGACATCACACAGTTGTTTTCAGGTTCTACTCCCCACTTACAGAATCTCAAGATGTTGAATTGTCTCAAGGAAAAATGTTTTGCTTTCTAGCAAGTGTCACAGGAAGAGAAAGAAAAGTAATGTCTGCAAGCTCACCCCATTCTCTTGCCACACTATTAAGTGTTTTCCCCCAGTTCTTAAAGCCACATTCTTAAAGAAACTCTCTGCTTCTGCTGGGTGGTGGAGTCCACAAGATTCTGTACCCCTGTGAATAAGGTATTTGGACCAGGACTGAAGAGCTGCTCCAAGCTGAATCAGCCAGTCTCTTTTACAAGAACTTGCAATTTGGACACAGGGCTCCAGTCAATCTCTGCTGGTGCTTGAATTGAGAGGGTCTGCTGCATGAAAGGCCTTTTCCTGCAAAGTGTAAGGAGAAGCCGAGAAGGCTGGTGATGTGGAGAAAATGAAGAGGGTTAACAGAAGCCGAAGCAAGAGATTTTAAGACCCTAAGGAGAAGAAGAGTCGAATAAACTCAGTGTCAAGAAGAGTTGGACAGAAAGCCAGGGACAAAGAGTATCTTGGTCTCTAGAAGCTTTCCAGGTCCCTTGTTCTAATCTCAAGTGAGATCTGTATCTTTCCTTCCTTGGTTCCATGATATGTCCCTGTGATCTTCCAGTAAATCCTTCTTTTGGGTATAAGTTAATTGGAAAAGGTTCTGTTAGTTAAAATCAAAACACTGTTGTCTAAGACAAACATATAACTGCTCATCTTCCTCCACATTAGCCATCATTTCCTAGATATTCACTATGTGCAAGACACTATGCTAGATGCTTTAGAGAAGGAAGAAAAAAAAAAAAAACAAAACACCCAAAAGATAAATAATATATAGATTCTACCCTTAGGGAACTTACAGGTAGAAAACAGAGAGGTGAACAGTTAACCTGGTACTATGTTAAGCCTTTCATAAAAATTTGTAAAATGAAGGAAAAGTGTGATGTAAAATGGCATAAGAACCAAATTTACAAATTTAACAATATATGCTTGGCAAAAAAAAAAAAAAAAAAAAAAAGCTTAAGAAAATAAAAAACTACCATAAAATATTTTACAGATGTATACCTTATTGCATCATCTCTGTACCTGTATATACTATATATCCATGCTATGCAGTACTTACTTGCTGAACTTGATCATAATACACAAATCCAATTAGATTGGATTAGACTTCCAGTCAAGATGGCAGCATAGGTAAATGTGGCTCACCTCCTCACACAACCTCATCAAAATTACAACTAAATTATAGAACAACCATCACTCAGAACCAATAGAAATCGAGTTGAATGGAAGTCTGAAAACTACGGAATTAAAGAAACTACATCCATCCAGACTGGTAGGAGGGGCACAAATGTCGAACAGGCTGGTCCTACATCCACATGTGGTGGATAAAAAATTGGGAGTGGAGTCCTAGCACTGCACCAGAAGATCTCCAGGGTGGAGGCAAAGAGCATTAGCTAGGTTGATGGAGTCTCAGATGTGGCACCTGCCTGCCAGCTCTGGGTTCTGTCTGCCTTTCTGTCTGGAAGAAATCTGTCCCCCAGCTCTCGCTTTGATGCCAGACACTTCGGTTCCTCACTGTATGCCACTGGTAGCTTTTAAGCTGCTACTCTGGTACTGGAGCTCAGAGGGAGTGAGTCTGACTAAGTTTGTATGTGGGTTCTTTAAGAGGAACTGTGTGGAAGTTTCTTCCACCGCCTCAGTCCCTACTGGTTTTTGCAGCCAGAAGTAATGGGGACTTCTCCTGGCTCTGCAACCTTGGGCTTGGGGGGCCTAGTATGAGGCTGGGACTCCTTGCTGCCAAGATATCCTGCCTGAATTTTTATGCACTACATGTGGATGTGGAACCAGCCTGTTTTGCGTCTCCACTCCTCCTACATGTCTGGATGAATGTAGTTTAATTCCACAGTTGTCAGACTTCCATTCAACTCGATTTTCTGATGGTTCTGAGTGATGGTTGTTCTATAACTTAGTTGTAATTTTTTAAAAAATTTATATATTTATTTTTAGAGAGAGGGGAAAGGAGTGAGAAAGAGAGGGAGAAAAACATCGATATGTGAGAGATACATCATTTGGTTGCCTCTTGCATTCCCCCAACTGAGGGACCAGGCCTGCAAGCCAGGCATGTACCCTGACTGGGAATCGAACTGGTGACCTTTCAGTTCAAAGACGGGCACTCAATCCACTGAGGCACACCAGCCAGGGCTAACTTAGTCATAATTCTGATGTGGTTGTTAAGAGGTGGTGCCATTTATACCAGAAGTCCTCAAGAAAGTAAATTTTTTAATATATTTTCCAAACAATGATATTAGTTTTCTCCAGAACTCAGAAAAATTTTCAATTGAAAACATTTTTTTCTTGGGCAAACTGCACATAGATAGTTATAAATTCCTTCTTTAAAGTTGATAAATTCCTTCTCTTTTTTTAGAGGGCAGAGTAGGAAATCTAGAGTGCTATCTTTTCTGAACTGTAACCGTTAAGAGTGGAACCAAGCAAAAAGTTGACAAGCTATGAACCTAGTTCAATTTGACTGTGTCCAAATAATTCTCTAGCTGCTGATGGGCTATTTACATCTGATGTGCAATGCTACAGCTACTGTATTAATAAGAACCATACATAATTCTGACCTTCTAACAGCTTAAATCCCAGAACTTTCACCATAGAGTTTTTGGATGTTCTGAGGTCATAGGTACTAGTAAACATGTGTCTCTAATTGTATATCAAATCCTTACAGAAAAAATATGGGGACTTTGTTCTAATATCTTAAATTGTTCATTCATCTCTATTCTGTTATGAACAGGATAATCAAGTTAATAATATCATAGTTAATCAAGAATTGTTGGCATAAGCAAATAAAGAAGATGATAGTTTGGAGAGAAGAGTGTATGCTTGAAAGAAAGAAGCTGAAACTTAACGTGGTGATCTTACCACCAGTGAAATTCTACTCAAAGAGCAGAAGATTCTATGCTAAGATTTCATCAATTTAAGAGACATTTGTTAAGTTTCTCCTTTGCTCAAGTGAGATGCAAGATATACAATAATGAATAAAAGATGCTTCTTGCCCTTAAAAAGCTTATGATCCAGCAGCATATTCTACCGTGAAAAGTCCATAGGATGAGAGTGATATGGCTCTCTGTGAGTGCTCTCAATATAGTGCCTCAAGGGTGGAATATATTTCTTTGAGGTAATTTCTGTATTCTGCAAATAAAATGGAGTGATAAAAAGGAATAGGGGTTTTGTTCACTGCCATTCTAGAGCAGGGGTCTGCAAAGTATAGCTCGTAAGTCAAATCTGGCTCACCTACTTTTATATGATTAGAAAACTAAGAATAATTTCTATATTTTAAAATATCTGAGCCCTGGCGAGTGTGGCTCAGTAGATTGAGTGCTGGCCTGCAAACCAAAGGGTCACTGGTTTGATTCCCAGTCACGACACAACCCTGGGCTGCAGGCCAGGTCCCCAGTTGGGGGCAGGGAAGAGGCAACCACACATTGATATTTCTCTCCCTCTCTTCCCCTCTCGCTAAAACTAAATAAATAAAATCTTAGATAAAATATTTGAAAATAATTTAATGAAGAGAATTTCGCGATACATGAAAATTACATAAAACTCAAATTTCAGTATCCATGAATAAAGCTTTCTTGGAATACAGCCCATTTGTTTACATATTGTTTATGGCTGTTTAATGCTACAAGAATAGAGTTGTATAGCTGCAAGAGAGACATATGGTCCACAAAGCCTAAAATATTTACTACCTGTTCTTTTACACTATCTGGGAAAAGAACTCCAAGAAAAAAAAAAAGATCAAATTGCTATACCTATTTGTTCTGTAAAACAGAGTTGTAACCATTGTGCAAGGACCAGGCCAGCTGGTTCAGTTTAGCGTTTGGTCCTTACCAAACTACAGCTGTGGAAGTAAAATTGTTCCTTCTCATCAAAGAGGCTCAAATGAGAATAATTGTATTTCAACCTGACCACATTCAGCTCCTCTGAAAGAAACACACACTTCCCTTAACATCATAAATGTGATTGGTTCACAGTAGCCAGAATTTTGCTCTATTGAATCAGGACTGGGAAGTATCAAGTGACTACTGCTTGAGAATGCATCAAAAGTTTTAAAAAAATGAAACTTCCACACTTGATTCCTCTGTGGTGCTCTGTTTAGAGAGAATCTGTCCTTCATTCTGATATTTTTTTAAGCTATGAGAAATGTAAATAGGATATTTCCATTTCTACAGGAAAGTTAGATCTTCAGTTTCAATATAAATCAATACTGCTTTGTTTATGTAGACTTTTCCCTTAAGAATTCAAGGCCTTTACAGACATTACCTCATTCAACCCCAGCAGGTCTGCAAACTCGATAAGAAACAGAAGGTTTTCCTGTGTTGTATGAGTAAGGAAACTGAGGCATAGTATAGGCACACGGTTCACACTTGAGTCACAGAAAAACAGCTGGAAAAATCGGGCTAAAATTTTCTTCTCGCTTCAATTCTTGGCTGTAATTCACACTGCCTGTTAATTAGAGATGGCAAGTGTCTAAATCTCCAGTCCTCAAAATGTAATTTCAAGGCTTCCCTTTTATACTATTTAAGATCCATTTCCCCTGAATTTAGTGGTATCTATCTCCTCCCTCTGTAATACCCCTGGCAGAAAGAATTCTAAAAACTTATACATGGCAAGAAATGATCCAGATTTCATTTTCTTTTACCAGGACCACCATTAGATCCTTCTTTTCTTGTTACAAAAACTTTCTGCCCAACAAAAGACCAGAAAGTTTATCCTAAATTCTTTAAGCACTCCCAACTATTGGACATCTAAGTTGAGGCATATTACTTGTTCCCAAATACTCTTGTTCTATGATTCACTTCTATTTTAAGTAAAATTCCCATCTTTCCAGTTATCTTTTCAAATGTTCTTATTTTTAATTTCCTGTGTACTGCGTCCTATGTTTGCCCAGCTTGTTTACAATGTGCTCCTCGGGAAGTTTACAGCATTATCGGAGGGTTTTGTCAATCTCACACTTTCTTATGATTTTCTTCAGATTCATGCTTTATTCCTTTGTTGAAGCAGAAAGTGTTCTTAATTTTTTCTTTTAAATATGGAACGCTTCACAAATTTGCATGTCATCCTTGCGTAGGGGCCATGCTAATCTTTTTTGTATTGTTCCAATTTTAGTATATACGCTGCTGAAGCAAGCACCATGTTCTTTTTAATTTAACAGTTGCCTAGATTTGAGGCTCTTCTTCTGGTACTAACTGGTACCTCCTATCTTTTTTGATGACAGATAATACCATTCCCTCCCAGAAACTTCAAAAGTGCAAATCCCAATCAGCTTTACACTTTCTTTATTTACAGCATAAAGGTTTCAGTGGGTGAAAATGGCTTGCATAGGGTAGCTCTGAACTTCTCAGTTGTATACATGGCACACCTATTCAACATAAATGATTAATTTGTTTTGGAAAGAAATGTTTCAAAGCCTAGATCAGCAAAGGCCATAAAAGGTTCTAACAAAGGCAGGTTTTTTAAAGCATGAAATTGGGGACACCATGTGAAAAAGAAAATCTTGTTCTTTCACTAGGGGGAGGTTCTGGGCCTTTGCCTCAATTAAACATTTTTATGGCTATGTTCCACTACTCTATTATAATTAGGTAAGGGATAAGGGGTTAAAGGCCCCAGGTACCTATTGAGAGAGAGAGAGAGAGAAAGAGGGAGAGAGAGAGAGAGAGAGAGAGAAAAAGCTATATTTGTTTAGTTGTTTGAAATATGCCGTTGGTATCTTGACAGGAATTGCAAAGAATCTATTGCACAAAAACATAGGACAATCATTCCTAGCTCAATTTTGCCTACTGTGTGATCCTAGGTAAGTTAGCTACTAAATTTCTCTGTGCTCAAAAATGAGAAAAATGAAGTAACAAAGAAAGTACCTACTGGGTATTTAAGTTGACTTGCATTCTCTGCCCAAAGAGATTTTCCCTCAGCTTTGTTACATTGTAATATTACAGTAAGCTTCTTGCTGTCATTTTAAGTTGAGGATTAGTATATCCTTTATAAGAGAGAGCCAAAGCAGAATGGTCATTAGCAAATTAGAATAGGTGCTCAAAAACCAGGACATGTCAGCTCAAACTTAGGTGAGCTATGATACACTATTTATTCCTAGAGCCCTTAAGAATTTTTCCAAGGCAGGTTGCTACATAGAATGGAATTAAATGTTTAACCAACGCAATATGAGTCCCTTCATTACTTTTAGGACCTCTCATTATAATTAAGAAGGGTCCAGAAGCAAAGAGATCATTGCAGTGTCTGTTTATATTACAGTTAGGCCTTTCCAAAAGCCAAGTGAGGTGGTGGAAATTTTTAGTCAAAGTACTAGAATAGGTTATTTACTAAAAACGTTAAAGCTATTGCTCAAAACCACTGTTCCTAAGAAAGAGTCAACTCTGAGAACAATAACAGGGCAACTTTATAGCTCCTTCTGGCTAAGTCAGAGTTCTCCACCATATTTTATCTACTGCACTCTCATTTTTATATCTAGAGTCCTATTTTCTTGCCATTTGCCAGTCTCCATTCTCTTTCATTTGTTTCTGCCCTTTCTGATTCATTCCCACTCCTTCCCGACTCATTCCCTCCCTTCTCCTGTCATTACTGCTACATGCTTGGTTCTAGTTTATTCATCTTTTATTTAATTATCAAACATATATTATTCTAGGCCATTATCATGTGGCCAGACCATATCTAGCTATGAACCTTCATGCTCATACTGTCCCTCTCCTATCTTTAGGTTTCCTGTGTTTAGGCCTCTGGTTTGCCTATCTGTGCCCCAAACCTGTCATCTCTCAAGTCCTGTTCCTGTGTGTTAGGATACAAGCAAAAGTGAGAGGCACAGAGGATAAGAGTTCTGGGCTGGGACATATAAAAACTGACAATGTATACCCTCTTCTAAGTGAAATGACTCTGAGAACATAGGGAAACCTAAAACATTCCCATAACAGGAAAATAAATTTAGGACTTACACATGGTGACTATTATACAATTAGCACAACACTGATGACTGAAGAAAATAATAAGAAAATAAGAAAGATGGTTATAATTCAAAGGATGCTTTCATCCGCTAATTCTGAGGCTCACCGCTTTTAATTACCATGACTAACTACTACCGTTCTTTCTTGTGAAACTGGATCATTGTGCCAAACCAATACTGAAGCTACCACGAAGGCGAGCAAGTTCCGGAAAATACAGAGTCAATCTTTAAGTCCCAGACTCCTAATTTTGTGTACTCACAACAATCTATAGAAACTACATCTGAAAAGCATAATTGCACTCAATTCCAAAGTCTGTAGTGCCTTGAAAAATCAAAACAGTGATATAAGGAGAAATGAAGCACCCTGGCTGGTGTGGCTCAGTGGAGTGAGTGCAGGCCTGTGAACCAAAGGGTCACTGGTTCAATTCCCAGTCAGGGCAAATGCCTGGGTGGCGGGCCAGGTCTCCAGCTGGGGTGCACAAGAGGCAACCACACATTGATGTTTCTTTCCCTCTCTCTCTTCTTCCCTTCCCCTCTCTCCAAAAATACATACATACATAAATACATACAATTAAAAAAAAAAAACAGAAGGAATGAAGGAAAAAAATATAAGATAAAACTGAAGAATGTATTTGATTTAGTAAAAAATAAAACCTAAAACTTTAACTTTCTAACCCTGAGGAAAGACTAATATAGTAATTTTTCAGAGTCATTACATATAGTAGAGTTCCATGTTTAAAAAGTTTTTCTTTGTAATAAATTCTCCAGCACTCTCAGGTTCAAACTATAATTTGCAAATAAAAACCTTCCCTGCCCCCAGCCATCCAATTATGTGAAACATTAGAGAAATACAAAATGTTCTCATTTTGATTCACGGACGGACATCTTTGGATGTCCATTTTGCCAGGGTCATATTTATAATGTAATTAAATTATAAAAATGTAGATTTATGTTTTCTGACACTGAGGAATATACCAAGTATAATAAATATGTGTACTAGAATGTTTCTTATACAATAATATGTGGTTTTTAAGAGTTTTATTTTAAAGACTTCTGGCCAACATGGGGACGTAGCTAGATATGCTTTGCTTCCTTGCATAACCAAAAGGACAATAACAAATTTAAAAACAAAACACAACCAGAACTGCCAGAAAATCAAACTGTATGGAAGTCTAACAACCAAGGAATTAAAGAAACATTCATCCAGACCGGTAGGAGGGGCGGAGACAGGCATCCAGGGTGGAGAGGACTTGCAGCAGGGCTGTGCTGGTGGCGGCTGGCAGACTGGGCAGTCCCATATTAGCATGTGGGGAGTGAGACAGACAGCAAAACCCAGGGTTCCAGCATGGGTAAATAAAGCCTCAAAAGCTCTGGCTGTAAAAAACTGTGGGGGTTGCAGTGGCGGGAGAAACTCCCAGTCTCACAAGAGAGTCCACTGGAAGGATCCATGGGGTCCTAGAACGTACACAAACCCACCCACTTAGCACACAGCACCAGAAGGGCCCAATTTGCTTGTGGGTAGCAGAGAAAGTGACTGAAAGCCAGCAAGAGCCAAGCAAGCAGCATTGTTCCCTTTCTGACCCCTCCCCCAGATACAGCACCACAACGCAGTAAAGTGGGTAGCCCCACCGTGGTGAATATTTAAGGCTCTGCCCCGTACAATGTAACAGGTATGCAGAGACAAAGAAAGATGGCCCAAGTGAAAGAACAGATCAGAAGTCCAGAAAAAGAACTAAGCAATGAGAAGATACACAACCTATCAGGTGCGGAGTTTAAAACACTGGTAATCAGGATGCTCTCAGTAATGATTGCGTAGGGTTGCAAAATAAAGGAAGAAGCAATGGCTATACAAAGTGAAATAAAGAAAAATATACAGGAAACCAACAGTGACAGGAAGGAAATTGGGACTCATATCAATGATTTGGAGAAGGAGGAAATAAACATTTAACCAAATCAGAATGAAGAAATAAGAATTCAAAAAAATGAGGAGAGGCTTAGGGACCTCTGGAACAACTTTAAATGTTCCAACATTCGAATCATAGAGGTGCCAGGGGAAGAGGAAGAGTAAGAAATCAAAAACATACTTTGAAAAATAATGAAGGAGAACTTCCACAATCTGGCAAAGGAAATAAGCTTCCCGGACATCCAGGAAGCTCAGAGAGTCCCAAAGAAGTTGGATCCAAGGAAGCACACACCAAGGCACATCATAATTAAGTTACCCAAGATTAAAGATAAGGAGAGAATCTTAAAAGCAGCAAGAGAAAAGGAGACAGTTACAAAGGAGTGGCTATAAAACTATCAGCTGATTTCTCAAAAGAAACCTTGCAAGCAAGAATGGACTGGAAAGAAGTATTCAAAGTCATAAAAAGCAAGGACCTACATCCAAGGTTACTCTATCCAGCAAAGCTATTACTGAGAATGGAAGGGCAGATAAAATGCTTCCCAGATATGGTAAAGTTAAAGGAGTTCATCACCACCAAGCCCTTATTATATGGAATGTTAAAGGGCTTATCTAAGAAAAGAAGATCAAAACTATGAACAGTAAAATGACCACAAACTCACAACTATCAACAACTGAACTTAAAAAAACAAAAACAAAAACTAAGGAAACACTAGAACAGGAAGAGAATCACAGAAATGGAGATCACATGGAAGGTTATCAGCAGGGAAGGGGAGAGGGGAGAATGGGGCAAAAGGTACCGGGAATAAGAAGCATAACTGGTAGGTACAAAATAGGTGGAGGTTAAGAACAGTATGGGAAATGGAGGAGCCAAAGAACTTATGTGTATGACCCATGGGCATGAACTAAGGGATGGGGAATGCTGGTGGGGGGGAGGCAGCGTGCAGAGCAGAGGGGAATAAGGGGAGAGAAAAAATGGAACTGTAATAGCATAATCAATAAAATATACTTCAAAAGTTATTATTTTTAATACAATCCTATAGTTCAAATAAGTCTTAAAAAGTCATGGATTCTAACTTTATACCTGTGCACAAATTGCCCTGACTACATCCAGAATGTGTAATTGTTCAACTTCTGCCTGAAAACTGCCCTCCCTCTAAGAGACAGGAAATCCTATTGCACAAGATAGCTTACTACAATTTGCTTTTTTAGTTCCTATAAAGTGTTTGAAAAGAAAGGAAACAAGGTATTGCTTCATTTTATTATAATTTGTTGAACTGATGCCTGAAACTGCAAACACACAGCTCAAGAGATATGGAGACAGAAACAAGTTGCCTTGTGATGGAAGAGGTAAGAGAAGACCATAAAGCCACTGCTGCAGTCTTTTAAAAAATTATGTAGCCTTGACCAGTGTGGCTCAGTTGGGTGTCGTCCCACAAAGCATAAGGTTGACTGTTTGATTCCCTGTCAGGGCACATTCATGGGTTGCAGGTTCAGTTCCCGGTCAGGGCGTGTGCGTGTGCAAGAGGCAACCAACTGATGTTTCTCTCCCTTTCTCCCTCCTTTCCCCTCTCTCTAAAAATAAATAAAATCTTAAAAAAGTAGATACTGTACAACAATGAATTCAAAATAAAACACATAATTTGCTTTTAAAAAATTAGTTATAGATCCTTTTCTAGTTCATACGTGTGGTGATTGGGTGTTCACGCTCTTGTGACATGTGCCTCCCACAAACCTTGTTACAACATTGGCACATTACTTGTCTGACATGAAAAAAATAAAAAATCAAAAAATATAAAATTAGTTATAATAACAACGTCAGGCAAAAAATGCACAGTATTAAAGAATTAAAGTCAAAACTTAAAAGCAACACTGCTTTCCATTTTAATCATACTCTTCAAAGGTAATCATTATTAAATTTTATGTATATCCACTCAGATATTTTCTATGCTCATATGAACGTTACCTGTATTATATATGTATTTCTTGAACTACACAAATACAATCATGCTACATAGTTCGGCAAACTTTTTCACTTAAAAATTTGTTGGGGCATCTTTCCAAAATTAGTATATAGGACTCTACCTTCTACATATCGTCATTGTTTATCCAGATCCATATTGATAACATTTAGATTACTTTCACACTGTTAAAATTGTTATACAAAGCCAAAATTTATCTTCTGTAATTTCTTTCAGTAATTTTTGCTCTAGAATCATTTAGAATAAACTGAATCTATCATTTCATGGCTCCCTGAACTTTTGAAAAACCACTACTATATCACATAAGTGGGAATAAATGGAAGAACACATGAAAGAAAAGTTCTGAGTGTCATAATACTCAGGTATTAGAAAGAGTGGAAAATGATTTCCTCAAATAAAAACAATCTAAATATTCGACAATACAAAATGGGTGGCTAAATTATAATCTTTGAAACTAATGGGATATTATATAATGATCAGAAACAGGGACACTCTGAAGCATCATGACAAATATTATAATGTTAAGTGAAAGAAAACATGCTGTTGCATGTGAACTGAGATTAACTGTGACATATATTTGCATATGAAAAGGAGAGAAACAGTGAAATGAAATGTAGCTGCATTAGGCTGGTAAGAGCATGGATCATTATTTCCTTTCAAAATGCCCTTAAATATTTTATAATTTTGTTTCTACAATAAATGTAAAAAAGAAAAAATGATAGCTAGTAGGAAGATCAAGATCCTCATTCTCATTTTCAAGGACCTCAAGGCCCCCTTTGCTTTCTTCTTTGATTATCTTGAGATATCAACCCTCATAGTGAATAATCAGCTCTTGAAACTCTTGATAGCAAAGCTACCAACAGCAAACAAAGTTTGAAGTATGACTGACCATGAGAGAACAGAGTGGGATGGAAGGGAAGGAATTAGAGCTCAAACAAGGAAAAGAAGGGATAATCAGGAACAGCTCTAACTTAAACCACGTTCATAATCACCCAGTGCTATCATTTTTGTTCTATCTCCACATGAGTAGAAAACTGGTATGAATTTGCAGATCATATGGGGGTCAAAAACCCAAGGTAATGGTTAAGATCTGTGTACTCAAAGAAGAAATGGCCTTATTTACAAGCTAACACAAAAGTCCCTATTTTAAGAATTTAAAGCCCCAAGCTCTGGTCAAAATAGCAACAACAGTATTCTTTAAATTCATAATCATCCATTTCTCCCCCAAAATTCCATCCATTTATTTTATAATTTCCTGAACAAACCTAAGTCACAATGAGCTTTTTTTTTTAAAGTATATTTTGCAAATCACTGGCCTGTGCTGAATAATGACCAAGCATTAGTGAATAAAAAAAATGATCACATTATTTTGGTTACTGTGTGGTTCTGATGAGAGTGGCATGTGTGCTCTGGCTGCTCAAACATTAACTACTGAGGAGATGAGTCACATTTGCAGCTGGGAACTCACTTTAGAAAAATAGGGAGACAAATAGACCCACTTCACCTATGCTTATAAATTAGCAAAGAAGCGCTAGTGTTTGTGCTCACATATATAATGAGATGCTGAAATCTTGTCTACTTTCTTGTCAACTGATCTACTTTCAAAATGTTTCCATTTTTGTCCATTCCCAGAGAATTTTTTTATTAACTTGGCAAAAATCTAAAAAGGTAAGCTTATCAAATCTTCCTAACTTTTTCTGTCACCAAAATAATTCCCAACTGTCTACTATGTGAAGGAACCATGCAGGGCTTTTACCACTGAGACACATGGGTGAAAGTACAAGCTTTGTTCTTAAGGAGTTTATAGTCTTACAGGCACTTAAGAACAGCTGTGTTCTTAAGGAGTTTATAGTCTTACAGGCAGGAGGGTATGCAATCCCAATTAAAAACCAGCCAATACATAATCATCAGTAACAGAATCAGGACTGAAAAAATCCCAGTATTAGTAATAATGGGATAAAACAGCATGACATCTAAGAGTTTAGGTGTTCAAAATCAACTGTATAACCACAAAATGCAGAAAGCCTTGGTCAATGGCAGCTTATATAAAAAATATGTAAAGGTTTCAGCTGAGTAAAACTCCATAAAAATCAACTATTTGAACTGGCTGTTAAAATAGCTACTCTAAATTAAAAAAAAAAAAAAATACTGGGTCCAGATTAAGGAAGATAATAATCCCACTCTCCCCATATCCAGCTGTTTAATGAAGCTTAGGAGGAACATCACAAAACACAGAGTATGTCTTGCATACATTAATGCTTACAAGTGAAGCAATGATGGTGAAGTATCTGTATATCATATGCAAAAAGACAATGAACTAAAGGCACATAGCTTAAAGCAAGTTGTAGAGGGGGCAGAATATAAGAATTGTGATGAATGCCTCTGAGCTGGTAACTGTGAGCTCAACAGTGCTCCATGAAAATGAAAAAGGACAAATTTTGGTCTAAATCTGAAGAACTCCCAATGCTTTTGAATTTCCAACACTGAATTACCTTACATATCAATACACTCTGTGGCTAGGAGTAGTCAAACAGAAATGAATGACCACTTGTTAAGAAGCAATTCTTACACTAGGTGGAAATTTATAACAGATCTCTACAGCTCTTCCTATCTTGGAAAAGCTTGTGGCTATCTTGTTAGATGTAGACAAGAATATCAAGAAGATGACACCCATCACAGCTACTCTAAGAACAGTGGACCATCTCAGAAAGCAGAAAAAATGTCTGTAATCACCACTGAATTTCATGAATGACCTAAACGGCTTTGTGACTTTTACATGATTGTCAGAAGAGATACTGGGAGGGAGACCAATGGTGGCCTACCTACCTGACTATGAGCCAACAGCTGGCCTGACCACTACAAAAGAGCTCCCCTATTCCCACTGATTACAACAGATTCCCACTGATTGCAATAGATGTGCTCGTCTCAGAAGCTGCAGTTCTTCCTTGCTGCCTTAAGAGAAAGGCAATTTTTTAAAGACCTCTTTCCTCCAACGATCTACCTATTTAATAATGTTTTCAGTGCATGCAGAATGCCAAAACGTCAAGAATCTGCAATGTTCTCCTGTATTTGGGTACACTATGAATACAGCAGCACAGATGTTATCCCTATGTTAACAGGTTCACGAGATTGTGTGGCTTCATATTGAAAAGGGAACATTGGCCTGATCTGGTGGGTCAATTTGGAAGGGCATACAGAGGAAATTCTGTGAACTGGCCTGGTCACTTTTCTTAGACCCACTCAAACTTCTAAACTGGGCTGGATCTAGCATATTTCACCTGCGCCTTAAATTTGTGAGACACGTGCCAACATGTTTATCATAAGTGAGTTGTCATAATTACTGTGACATTTACAAAACTAGGAACAACATAATAGCCAACCTTAAAGTTTAGTTATGGGAAGACAAGCCCCAAGTTGTATATATGTCCTGCATGTCCTATGCACTCAGTTGCCAATCTTAAATCCTATGCCAGGCACACTCCATATTTAAGGATATCATCAATGAACAAATAGTATATACTAGAGGCTACTGTGAGAAAGAACTTATGTTAGGTTCAATCAAAGATATACGCTCATCATGGCCTCCTTAGGTTATGACTATGGCAGATTACTGCCATGGTCAGAGTATAATACAACTTTAACAACACCAAGTGGCTCTTATATAATTCTACGTATTCTAAGGAAGTGAAACTCAAATTCCTTCAATGGTACCTTCAATAGCGGTACTTGAAGAAACCATGTTTCAATCACATAAAACTGTCACACTGAAGAAATCATAAAGCAGAGGAACTAATGAAACTAGTCAAATAATGAAACTAGCACTGAAGGATATCATCTTCCATGAGAGGTATCCCTTAAGGTTGGTAAGCTCAGTCAAGATATTTTCTGGAAGCCAGTAAGATATTTCAAAAAATTAAGAGCTTTTACGTAAAAACAAAACAAAAAACAAAATGAAAAGATAGGAATGTTTAAAAAATTATAAACTTAATTTTTAAAAATCCTTCAAGGCTATGGGTCATTACAATTATATAAATAGGTCTCCCAAATTAATGAGAACAATGGATAAAAATGACAGTGCTATGGCATTTCAGAACAACTTTCAGGAGTGGTTATATATTTTCCAGTATGTCTTTAAAAAATATATATAGTCTCAACATGGTAAAATATAGCTTGCAAATTACCAACCACTCCTCTTTTCTTTTGGTATACACAAAGAAATACAAAGAGAATGAATAAACTACCAAAAAGCAAAACCCCATACTATTCGAATTTCAGGTAGGGGGAAAGCATTCAAAGGTTGGTTTATAGGCACAGTAATAGCATCGCAGATTCCCAGTTAACTCAACTGCTCTTCCAGGAGCCAAAGAGGAAGTAGCTTTTTAATTGACTATGTTTATTTTCCTGTATAGAAAGCAGAGGAGATACACAGTCTGATGAAAGAGTAAAGAAAATGTGCATATTTTAGGGCTTTTACTAAGCTATGTGTTTGTAAATGGAGAAAACAGACTTGACTTACCTGCACTGCCAAGCTGTTTATAAAACCTGTATTCTAAATGAAGCTGTGGAGCACGTGATTTTATTGGTTCCTGAAACCCAAAAGAGATATTGTGATCAGATTTAGACAAGTAGAATTTTTCTAAGTTTTCAGTATAAACAAGAGCAAAGACCTCTTAATATTTTTTATATTTTTTCTTCTTTTGACTTTGAATAATTTATTATTTTTCAATTACAGTTGATATACAGTATTATATTAGTTTCAGGTGCACAAGCCAGTGATTAGACAGTATATAACTTATTAAGTGATCGTCCCAATAAATCTCATACCTGACACCATACCTAGTTATTACAATTATTGTTGACTTTACATTCCAGTGACTATTCTGTAACTACCAACTTGTACTTCTTAATCCCTTCAACCTTTTTCACCCTTAAGACCCCTTAATATTTTAGAGATGATATCCATATATGACAGCACTTTCTTCCCACAATTTCTCTCTGAAATCAAAGCAAGGGAGAAGATGAATCTAAATTACATACAATCGTTTCCATAGATATTTAAATAAAAATACTCTGTATGAGCCATCATTCAGGGATAGCTCCCCCTCATCATAAAGTGGTCTCCTGAAATGTATTTTCCTAGGGAATGAGGTGTCAAACCTTTTAATTAACTACCAGTATGTATTTCCTGCTTGTTTTATTGTGAATTTGGGGTGATAAACAATTTTATTATTTTTAGAAAAATGATATGTGCTCAGAGAAAATTTCAAATACACAAAAATTAGGAAGAAACTAAAAGCAATCTGAATTCCTATCATTTTACAGAGAAAACTATTAACATTTTGGAAATGGTCTTCCAAACATTTATTTATATGTACACATATAAAGACTAAAAATTGCATTTAAAATAAGTGAGATCATGCTATATTTGCTGTTCTGTAATGTGCCTTGAAATTCAACAATGTGAGAATTTTTCCATGGCAGCAAGTAAAGCTGTGTATTATTTTTAATGGCTATAGTACTCCATCGCATTTATGTATGTGCACACACACAATTTTTGGACACCTAGATTGCTTTCAGTTTTCTATATTATGAATAATGCTGTAGGAAAATTTTTATGTATATTTAGTTTTACATTTAAGAGAATCAGATTACAAATGCAATTAAAATATGTAACTCTAATCAATATGGCATTCAAGTTTTCAAATATAGTTTTCTAAAGACCACAGAGATAAAACAGTCGAACTACCACAGTTGGCTCTATATCAAACTTTAAGAATTGCCTGGTAATAATTTTGAATTGACAGTATACCAGGCAACAAGGTAATGAGAAAATCAAACATTATCTTCAAAGATACATCTGCATAGTCAGTAGGATGGCTAGTATCAAAACCACAGAAAATAATTATTAGCAAGGATATGGAGAAACTGAAAGCCTTGTGCATTGCTGGTATGAATGGAAAATGGTACAGCTCCTATGGAAAACAGTGTGGTAATTTCTCAAAAAGTTAAACATGGAATTACCATATTATCTAACAATCCCACTTCTGGATATCTACATACACAAAAATCAGGACTCAAATTGATATTTGTACATCCAGATTCATAGTGGCATCACTCACAACAGTAAAAAGAAGCAACCCAAGTATCTATCAAAAAATGAATGGATAAACAAAATATGGGTACATTTTATTGCATACATATGATAGAATATTATTCAGCCATAACAAGGACATTCTGACACATGGTTACAACATGGATGAATCTTGAGGACATTATACTAAATGAAATAAGCTAGTCTCAAAAGGACAAATGCTACAGCATTGAACTTATAGAGTAGTTAAATTCATAAAGACAGAAGGCTGAGCAGTGGTTGCCAAGAGCTGGGGGCAGAGGAAAATGAGGAGATGGTGTTTAATGAGTGCAGGATTTCAGCTGAGGTAGATGAAAAAGTTCTGGAGATGGACACTCAACAACATGAATGTATTTAATACCACTGAACTATACATTTAAAAATGGTTAAAAAGACAAATTCTTTGAAAATGTTCCATGTGCATTTGAAAAGAATGTGTATTTTGCTTCTTTGGGATGAAAGGTTCTATATATGCCAGTTAAGTCCATTTGATCTAAGTTCAGTTCCACAATATCCTTGTTGAAATTTTGTTTGGAAGATCTATCCATTGTTGACAGTGGGGTGTTAAAATCCCCTACTATCAGTGTGTTGCTGTCTGTATCTTTCTTGAAGTCCTCCAAGACTTTCCTTATATATTTGGGTGCTCCTGTGTTGGGTGCATATAGGTTTACAACGTTAATGTCTTCTTATGGATTCTTCCTTTGAGTATTATGAAATGTCCTTCTGGGTCTCTTTTTATGGCATTTGTTTTGAAATCTATTTTGACTGATATAAGTATTGCTACCCCTGCTTTTTTTTCCTGTCCATTTGCCTGGAATATATTTTTCCATTCATTTACTGTCAGTCTGTGTAGGTCCTTTGTTATGAGGTGGGTCTATTGCAGGCAGCATATGTGCGGGTCATGTTTACTTATCCATTCAGCTACCCTATGTTTTTTGACTGGAGCATTTAATCCATTTACATTTAAAGTTATTATGGATAGGTATGTATTCATTTTTTCTCTTTGTACCTGTGTTCCTCTCTTTCTCACTCTTTCTTCATCTTCTTAAAACAGTCCCTTTAGCATATCCTGCAGTGCTGGTTTGGAGGAGGTGTATTCTTTAAGCGTTTTTTTGGTCTGGGAAACTCCTTATTTCACCTTTGATTTTAATTAAGAGCCTTGCTGTGTCGAGCAATCTTGGTTGCAGGACTTTGCTTTTCATGACTCGGAATATTTCTTTCCATTCCCTTCTGGCTTGTAGTGTTTCTGTTGAGAAGTCAGCTGCTAGCCGTATCAGGGCTCCCTTGTATGTTATTACCTGTTTCTCCCCTGCTTCCTTTAGGAGTCTCTGTTTGTCTTTGATATTTGCCATTTTAATTATGATATGTCTTGGCATGGGCCTCACCAGGTTCCTCTTGAATGGGACCCTCTGTGCTTCCTGGACTTGTGTGACTTTTTCTCTCCTCAAATTAAGAAAGTTTTCCATCATTGCCTTTTCAAACAGGTTCTCTATCCCTTCCTCCTCTTCTTCTCCTTCTGGTATCCCTATTATATGGATATTATTACGTTTCAGGTTGTCCTGCATTTCCCTAAAATCCTCTTCATTTCTTTTGAGTCTATTTTCATTTTCTTGCTCTTTCTGGGACCTTTATCTACCTTATCATCCAGCTCTCTGATTCGATCCTCTGCTTCATCTAGCCTGCTTTTGATTCCTTCTGTGTTCTTCAATTGGGAAATTGTATTCTTCATTTCCTCTCGTCTCTTATTGATAGTTTCTAGGTCCTTTCTCGTGCTGATATAGTTTGCAGTAACTTCCTTGTAGTGTCCCCATAGTTTTTGGTAATTCTCTCTGAGCTCACTGAGCTCATCGAGCTTCCTTAGAACCATTGTTTGGAACTCAATACATGATAGTTTACTTGCCTCTATTTCATTTAGTTCTCTTTCTGGGGATTCCTCTTTTCCTTTCAATTGGTGCGTGTTTCTTTGTCTTCCCATTATTTGTGAGACTCTTCCTTTTTGCTTCTGCTTCTTAAATTGATCTGCCTTGATTTCCTGACTTTGTGGTGTGAACTTCTATGATAGGAGAACCTGTGAGATTCAGTGGTGCAGTCTCCTTGATCTTCTGAACATGCTGCTCTTTGGATGCCTTTTATGCTGTTTATGTTGACTCTGTGGAAACAACTGTGTTTTGATTGTTGTTTGGTCATTCTTTGGTGGGTCTTACCCTCCAGCTGGCTGACTGAGGGTCACTCTGCCCACCACATCTTGTGTGTTTTTATATAGGTGCCACCAGAACAAAACCACAAAGCCAAGGAAACAAATCCACACCTGCAAAAATAACTCCCCCCTGCAATCCCACTATCAGCAGCAAATGAACCAGTATTAATAAGGAGGTAAAGAGATTAAGACTATTATAAGAAAGGAGAAAAATAAATTACTAGTATAAAATCTAATGACTTACTATGCACAAACTTGATGGACCTGAAAAGAATGTTAAAAAGCTATGTAACAAAGAAAATATCACAAATCATGGAGAAGACCACAGTGGATTTCATCTTGGCAGCCTCTAGTATTTGCCACTATTTATTCTTTCTGGATCTGCCTCTGATGATGTCAGGTATTGACTCTGTCTGACCTTAGGCAGTCCGTTTGAGACTTCCAGGAATCTACTGCCTGTGGCTGTCACCTTCAGTTGTTAATCTAGTCACTCTGCACTCAGCAGTCAGGCTTAGAGACCACAGGGAGGGGCAGAGCCCCTCCTAGGGGCAGGCTATTGTGTGCTCTCACACTGATGCTGCTCAGGGTAGTGGTCTACCTGAGCCAGATGGCTGCTGCCATATGGGGGAGGAGTCAGCACCAGGATCCTGCCAGCTAATCTCTCAGTTCTCTCCCCAAAGCCACCATCTCCAGTCTCTCCTCAAGTGTCTCTAGATCATTCTGCATCCCCTTTAGGCAGAGATCTACTATCTGTGACTACCATTCTGTACTCAGCAGTCAGGCTTAAGCACCACCAGGCCAGGGCAGAGTAAAAAGACAAATTCTTGATGTCAACTCCTTGTCAAACATAAGATTTTCAAATATTTTCTCCCATTTCATGGATTACCTTTTCACTATGTTCAGAGCCCTTTAATACATAAATTTTAAAAATTCTGATAAAGTCCAATTTATCTATCATTTCTTCCTTGTACTTTTTATGTCATATTCAGTGTCATGAAATTCTCCCCTAAGTTTTCTTCTAGGAAGTTTATAGTTTTAGCTCTTATATTTAGGTCTTTGATCCATTTTGAGTTAATTTTTGTATATGGTATAAGGTAAGGGTCCAGCTTCATTGCATGTAGATATCCAATTTTCCCAACACCATTTGTTGAAAAAATTGCACTTTCCCCATGAAATGGTTATTCTATTTTTTTTTCTTAATCCTCACCTGAGGACATGCTCACTGATTTTAGAGAGGGGAAGGGAGAGAGATAGAGGGA